CAAGCCCATCCAGGCCCATACTTCTTTGGAACTTCCCCACTCCCGGCACTCAGGAAACTTGCTCCTAAGCCCATCCAGGCCGATACTTCTTCGGAACTTCCCCATCCCGGCACCCAGGAAACTTACTCCTTCTATCTTATTTGCAGACACGAAAGCCACCATTCTACACTTCGCAAACGAGCTAAAGTAATCGCAGTGCTATAAGTGAGTGAAGGCAGCATGTCCCAAAGTCCCAAAAACGCCTTTGCAAATGGAATGCATTCATGCAAGGGTGATTCTTTTTCAAAAACCAGTTGTGGATGACCTGACGAATCGCGGTAGACTATTTAATTTGCCAAATTACTCTTTTCAGAAGCAAAATTGAGAAAAAAAAACTATCCGCACCTTGTTCATGGCTTGGACAAGGACATCGTTGCCTTTGTGGTGGCCAACTTCGATTGATGCCAGCATCGTCAAATAAAAAGTATCTCGCTCAGATTCGGTTACTTCTGAAAATCCATTCTCGTGAGCAGAACTGAGAGAGCACCTCATAAAACCTAATATCCACTGTAGTGGACCGAGTTCCCTAAAATGGTGCTGCCCCTTCCATAACAATATGTCATAACACTGTAAAGGTACGGGGTTTTCCCCGAGCATGCAAGCGAAGCGAAATTGGAACTGATTGAAATGATGGGATTATCTTGAAGGTTATTCGGACTCGAAGTGAGTGAAGGACGGTACTTTCAAGGGAAAAACCCTTCAATACTGGCATGAGCCAAGCCCGAGGGGCATCGGCTTGCAAAAAAAAATCACAGCAATAGACGCTAAACCTACTGATCGAAAGCACAGTTCACGGTAATTCTGAGGCATTCTGAGCTATTATGGGAAATAGTAGAAGAAATGGTGGAAAAAGTGCTGGAAAAAGACTTATTACGCCTTATTCCAAGTTTTTTTTTTTGAAATTTTTATGAGGGAAAAGGCATGTGAAGAAAAATGGCTTTGAAAAATTGAAGATACTCAGAAGTAATCGCTGATGGGGTTGATAAACTGATGACCTAGATTAGCCAGCACTTTAGTGCTCATCTGTCTAAGATTGTATGCTACCATCTGTAGGAATGCTCTATTAGCAGGTGGGAGTAAGGTACTGAAATCACGCCGTTGCTGATGCAATAGAAGACTTAAAGATCCAGAAACAAGGGACTGTACTTATCAAAATCAATGTGGGTGTTGCAAAAACAAATTCCTGCAGGAGTGGACGTAGTAGACCCTCATCTATTTCTTTGCTACGGCTATGAATATTGAATGATGGCAAGTGAATGGGTGTGCTCAATGCGCTCGATGCGAACGAGTGAAACCCAAGGTACTGCGACGTTTGTGGACCTAAGGCTCCTTCATTAACCATAGAACAGAAAGGAATTGATAAAAAACTGATAGATCGAATTTCTCTTTGGAGGTTTGTTTTCGAAAAGGTACGGCTCGGACTTTGTTATCCGTAGACAAGATAGCCTACTCACGGAATTCAAATCGAAAACATGGTTTTGTACAGATCTACCTCCTACGATCTTGTACAGACGCTCAAATTTCCTTCCGTTTGTGCCCAAACTCCACCTTTTTTCACATAAGCAATAGCCTCAGGCCATCTTTATCATACGGTGGGCAACATCGACCTCTGTCGAGTACGACTTTACGAGGGAACTGCTTAAAAGCACCGGAAATGAGGGTGGAGTATCTCAGCGGCAATCAGGGGCGATGATGGCAGCTATTAAGATATTGCTTTCTATCAGCACCATCTGGGCGGGCGGTAAACCTCCTCAAGACCTTTGTGAAATCACTCCCACAGACGCTAATGAAGACCATGGTGGAGCTGCTGAGCATGATCCCTTTGGTTTGATCTGTAGAATAGAATAAGATATGTATAGATGAGGGCACCTTTGTCAATACACACCTTTTGGGGATTAATGACCCTTGATCATGTGTGTAAGCTCCTACCAAAATCACAATGTTCAGATAACTTCCTGATTTTGATCCGGGAAACTTCGAGTGGTAGACGTTCTGACTTAAACTCAGACTTTAATAAACATAAGCAATCTCCAAACAACAAGCACAGCTTCATAGCCATATCTCAAATTTAAGTAACTCCCTCAGGTAATGTAGGTAACACTTTCTACCCATTTTCAATTGGTACAGCTGTCTACCGACAAATAAACATAAAACATAAGCCATAAGTCAGCATCAACACCAGCACGTCAGAGTCATGGCATAAATCACACCGTCACGGCAGTCATCATGCCCTACTTGGGGCAATTCATCACAGCTCCATGTCATTCATTAAGATCGGCTCAAGATAACTGCCCCTTTGCAGAAGCCCAATAGTCATTAAGAACTTACTGGAAGCATTGGACGGCAAAGCTCCCATGCAGATCTCTTCAACGATATCGATTTCACAGACAACAGCAGATGGGAAAATTCCTGTCATACCCGTTCGAAGGTTGGTTCCTGAAAAAACACCGAAGGTAACCACTCTCCTGGGCCGTAAACGTAAGACAGGAAGGGCTTACCATAGCACCAATGGTCCTCACAAGTTCTGTCCACATGTACTGCATCCCCAATGTCAAGTAGAACTTCATCGGAATGTCTGTAGGAATGAAATTGAATTGAGGTAACATCAGGAGGATTCTGGGAGCTTGAACGAACCTGGGAATGAATGCGGACTGAACTCTGTGCGTGGGATTAAGGCTGTCTGAAGTGGTACATGACGACACACCGCTTGAATCGTCTGGAGAGAAAAAAGCTGAAAATGTAGAACATTCTAGAAAATTCTGCATGCTTAGCTTTAGAATGTTTGCGGACTTCCGCACATTTCCGTTGTTTCACATGATGATTGCCATTTAATCCATCTTCTTCATAGTATGAGTCCTCGAAAGCGCTCCGTCCTAACATCGAATCTGTCATTCCTAAATGATCCGTTTGTCCTCGGGAAAGGAACGACAGCGCTAAATCTGACTTACCATCAATGAAACATAGCGTATGATCCTGAGGTTTAGAAGCGCCCTGATGAGTTGGTAAGGACATTGTTGGATAGTGTCCAACGAGTGAAATTGGCAGAAGAGGAAGTCGACGACCCGTCTGCGAAGGAGGAGATGGATTCACTGAAAATGGTCGTAGAATGTTGATGCATTCATGAATTCACATGAACCACCAGTAACGAGGGCCACTATTCGTCAACAGAAAAGCGCTGAAAACAAATACATGGCCCATAAAAGAGAACAGCCGGAAAGTACATCTCAGACGGAGGCACGACCTCCTCTGACAGCCCAAACACTTCAGTCGGTAGAAAGACAAATATTGATCCAATTTAGCTAATTTTTCAAACCCAAATTCATGCACAAATGGTTTATGAGCTGATTTATGGAAAATGGATTATTGAAGCAAAATTTCTCGGCAAAACTTTTGGTGAATACTTTGCGATGTTTATATCCGGTCTAGAAAGAAAAATGTGAGGGCAATAGGAGAAAATTTGATTATCGTAACCCTGGTTTGCCTGCAGACTCTCCTAGCTCTTATGACCACAGTTGCGAAAAATGAAAGCTTGGAGGGGATCAATGCCATCATAATCTTCCGTAGATTTTTGAGAGAGATAGCGAGAACAAGATCTGAGGGGTTTCAGCAATCAGAGGGTGGACGAGTTTTATGAAGAACTAACATTCGGAATTTCTCCGATTCCCTAGGCGTTTGAGAGTGAGTTTTCCCTAGCGTCATCCGCCTACTGAAAACAAGTATGGATGTTCTTTTCACCATCATACACCTCTTAGTAATCATTTAACCTTCTCCGACTCCGACTTTGGTTCATTTTCTTTTTCCTTTTCTTTACACCTGACTGGAGACCTCCTGCCATTTGTGAAAGCCCATACTTCATTCTTACTGGACTCCAGTTTGTTGGATTAATTTGATCAAATAACTTCAGTAGCGCACCTAAGCAGGCACCAACTAAATAAATAAACCATATTCTAAACAGAAGGAGATAGGCTTTCGTTGAGTTCATATACTCCAGAGTAATCAAAGAAAGTAAGACCCACGGAGGCAAACGTAACGTAACGCCTGACAAAGAACATTACCTTCGCGAACAATTCAACAGACAGGAAAACGCTCGAAAAAGGTCTATCCTTTGAGCCAACGGAGTGTTTATGGTGGCCTCGGTGGCTTGACAGCAATAAAATGCTTTTCGTGATATCGTAATTCATGCTGGCTTCATTATAGCTTGATTTCGAAGAGAAGCTGCTTACTGTATCGCTCCATATAAGTAGGGACCTCCTTCTTTGGAATTAATTAAGCTCAAAAGTTTGGGTGCCGAAATTAGCACTTTGGATCCACCAAGCAGGTTCGGTGAGCGTCTAGACCTTTTGCTACATATTCCAATCTGTTGGAGTTTGTGCCACGTGTAACCGCCGCCCCTAGGGTGGATTTTTTTTAATAAAAGGCATTTTTTCCATTAAAAGGCATCAAGGACGACGTGGGGAGGAATTTTCTCATATCTTCTTGAAATAAAGAGTTCATGATAATTTCGAGTATCTATGTAGCCTAGAAAAATAATGGGACTGAATAGGAATGGTGCAAAATTGAAGAGGAAAACGCAAAAATTGGCGCAAAGGAAATACAGGGCCTCAAAAAAGTAAAAAAGGATAGGACGAGAGTGTGACGACAATCGTTACATGGAAGGGGTATTTGCCCGAGCCGTCCGAATGTGTTTGCCATCGCGTATAGCTGGCTACAGTAAGCTGCCTGCGTGCAAAGTGTCCGTCCCGGTGCTAATGTTGCAATCTCTAAAGCCTTTTGAACGCCGCGAGAACTCATCCGCCTCAGAAGCGTACTTTGGCCAAACCGGTTTTGAAGCATTTACTGGTCCCTATCCATTTACTGGTAACGTTCTTAACCCGACAGGGACCCATGTGCTATTTTCCTTGGAATGGGAGGAGAGGGGCACAGGTTCATATTACAATTGGGGACGATTTCCGAGGGAGACTGTGCCTTTGAACAGATGGAACTCCGTGAGAACAGTAATTTTCAAGGTAAGCGATGATAAGCGATGGGGTAAGCCCTTGAAAAGGCATTCGTAAAAAAGAGACCACCGTTACTACAATGGAACAAAATTGGGCGACGCGATGCCCGTCGAGAGTAATGAGCTCGGAAAAACAAATTAGAGTGGGCTTGCTTTGGCCCCAAATAAAGGCCAATTCAGGCACGTGACGTCAGCGTGATGTCCCAGGAATCCACGAACGTTCGCCCGAAGGAAATATAGCCATTTCATCTTGGGCAAGAAAGAAACGAAGGAAGCGAGGTTGAAAAGTAAATCGGCACCCTTCATGACGAGCACTCTCAGAAAGATTTGCTAACGCCGGAAATTGTGACGAAGATGAATTGCTTTGCTGATTACGGTAGACGCGAGATAACTTTGCAGGAACATCCCCATTCAGGAAGAAAGTATCTACCAAAAAATGGGCCTTCATAGTAAAACACTGGACCTGGCATGAGAGCCAGGAGAGAAACGAGTCCCGGGGAAGCTATGAGCCAGTCGTTGGTCTCGGAATAATCTTCGGGCAATGATGCACGCGAATGAAGAAGATGTTGTGTGTGTGGGGGAGCCAAAATGAGAGTGAAATCGATAAGAGGACAATGGCAGAATTGGCTCGATCGATGCGGAGAAGAGGCTGACGTGGGACAGCCAGCGACATGTAGGGGGACGGGACCGACGATGGACGGCCACGACACCCCGCCATATCCGCCGCCATCTAACGCTTCTCTGTGGCGGACTAATCTATTAGATGATGAAGTATTACTGGAATTTTCACTGGTGGCTCCATTATGTGGGTCTCATCAATTGCAAAAATCCTTGGAATGTTGCTTTACTGAACGACATGAGGGAAATGGATACGAGTAGAACACCCACAATTTCAACGTTCGGGAAGGGAAAAGGGGTGGGACATCAGTGACATGGGACGATTTTATGGATCAAACTGCATCAAGAAAGCAGGACCACTCATCTCCTACCTGTCCGGATATATTGTAGAGAAAATGAAATGAGGAACGAAGAAAGAGGGGAGAATGGGAA